TATCATTTGTTAATATCTAAAGTGTCCTAAGATAAGAAGTTGAATCTTGTTGAACTTCTGAGCTGTTAGTGTTTGTCATTGTAAATGTGTGTCTTTCGTAATCCTCTCCGGTTGGACTTTGCATGTCTGGGAATTCTTTTGATGAAGCGAATGCGATCCTCGAACGCGGGGGTGGACTTTGGAATCCGATTCGAGATCGGAGATTCCGAGGCGCCGCGCATAAAATCTATCCGTCAGCAATTAAATCTTAAAATTATTTAATTAGTTGGAAAATTACTGAAAACAAATTTAATAAATAAAATACTTTGGAAATAAAGATTTCGGATATAACGGACAAAATATTTACGCAAAAGGATAGAATCTAACTCGGGTTATTCCTCAAGTTGCTCTATTCCATTTAATTCCATGTTCATAGTTAAAGTCGAGGTATTCCCAAAGTTTATCTATAGTATATGTTTATAATGTGTTACTATGGAGGTATAACCTAAACAAATTTTTTGGATAACATTTTTTGTTGCTTATCTTAAAGAGAGAAAGATTGCGAGAAGCGAAGCGAGCGACGCGACGTTGCTAAATCGCTGTTGGAATAAAATGTCAAAATATTTGTAACCTAAAAAATTTTTTTGAGGTTGTTAATATTTAGGGCACGGAACTTTTGTAACAAAACGATACGATTTCCCCCCTCCACTCGTTCTGATTAAAAAAACAGTATCATACTGTTCAGTGGGAAATTAAAATTTCAAGTTAGAAAAAAATTGTATTAACAAACACTGTTCCTGAAACAATTCTAAACAAACTTTGTTAACAAAATTTTTTGATTAAATCAATAATTAAGGAGATAACCTCAAAATAATAATTTTTCCGTTTTTATACATAATTATACTTAGATGCTTAATTAATAGAGATGTAAAAATTTTTTATTAAGATAATTGATTCAAAATCGAAATTGAAACAAATTTTATTTAAAACATTTTTTAATAAAAACAATAATTGTTGAGATAATTAATTTTGATAGCATACTATTCAGAGGGAAATTAAAATTTCAAGTTAGCAAAAAATTGTATTAACAAACACTGTTCCTGAAGTAATTCTAAACAAATGTTGTTAATAAAAATTTTTGATTTGATCAATAATTAAGAACATAACATCAAAAAAAATTGTATATATATATTTTTATTGAAAAAATCGTTTTAGAATTTAATTTAGAACAACTTTTGTATGAAATTTTCTGCTGAGAACGAGTGGAGGTGGGAAATCGTGTCGTTTTGTTATAAAACTTCCGTGCCCTATTAATATTTATGTGTTACTACAGAGACTTAATTAAAATCTAACAACGTCGCTCGTTTCGCTTTTCTCAGAGAGTGAGAGAGAGAGAAGCGACGTTGCTAAATCGCAGTTTAAATTAAATATCAACATTTTTATAACCTAAAAAGAAATTTTTGAGGTTTTGTTAATTTTTATAATGTGTTACTATAGAGATTAATTAAATAATCTAGCAACGTCGCTCGCTTCGCTTCTCTCAAAAAGAGAGAGAAGGAGAAGCAAAACGAGCGACGTTGCTAAATCGTTGTATAAATTAAATGTCAACATTTTTATAACCTAAAAAGATGTTTTGAGGTTGTTAATGTTTATAATGTGTTCTACAGATATTTAATTAAATCATTTAGCAACGTCGCTCGCTTCGCTTCTCTCAAAGAAAGAGAGCGAGAAGCGAAGCGAGCGACGTTGCTAAATCGTTCTTGAAATTAAATGTCAAAACTTTATAATCCGAAAAGAAATTTTTGAGGTTGTTAATGTTCTATAGATATTTAATTAAATCATTTAGCAACGTCGCTCGCTTCCCTTCTCTCAAAGAGAGAGAGCGAGAAGCGAAGCGAGCGACGTTGCTAAATCGTTCTTGAAATTAAATGTCAAAACTTTATAATCCGAAAAGAAATTTTTGAGGTTGTTAATGTTCTATAGATATTTAATTAAATCATTTAGCAACGTCGCTCGCTTCCCTTCTCTCAAAGAGAGAGAGCGAGAAGCGAAGCGAGCGACGTTGCTAAATCGTTCTTGAAATTAAATGTCAACATTTTTATAACCTAAACAAATTTGTTTGCGGTTGTTAATGTTTATAATGTGTTACTACAGAGATTTAATTAAATAAACTAGCAACGTCGCTCGCTTCGCTTCTCTCAAAAGGAGAGAGAGCGAGAAGCGAAGCGAGCGACGTTGCTAAATCGTTCTTGAAATTAAATGTCAAAATTTTTATAACCTAAAAAGAAATGTTTGAGGTTGTTAATGTTTATAATGTATTCTATAGACATTTAATTAAATCATTTAGCAACGTCGCTCGCTTTGCTTCTCGCTCTTTCTCTTTGAGAGAAGCGAAGCGAGCGACGTTGTTAAATCGTTCTTGAAATTAAATGTCAAAACTTTATAATCCGAAAAGAAATTTTTGAGGTTGTTAATGTTTATAATGTATTCTATAGATATTTAATTAAATCATTTAGCAACGTAGNTAAATGTCAACATTTTTATAACCTAAACAAATTTGTTTGCGGTTGTTAATGTTTATAATGTGTTACTACAGAGATTTAATTAAATAAACTAGCAACGTCGCTCGCTTTGCTTCTCTCAAAGAGAGAGAGCGAGAAGCGAAGCGAGCGACGTTGCCAAATCGTTGTTGAAATTAAATGTCAACATTTTTATAACCTAAACAAATTTGTTTGAGATTGTTAATGTTTATAATGTGTTCTATAGATATTTAATTAAATCATCTAGCAACGTCGCTCGCTTCGCTTCTCTCAAAGAGAGAGAGAGCGAGAAGCGAAGCGAGCGACGTTGCCAAATCGTTGTTGAAATTAAATGTCAACATTTTTATAACCTAAACAAATTTGTTTGCGGTTGTTAATGTTTATAATGTGTTACTACAGAGATTTAATTAAATAAACTAGCAACGTCGCTCGCTTCGCTTCTCTCAAAGAGAGAGAGAGCGAGAAGCGAAGCGAGCGACGTTGCTAAATCGTTCTTGAAATTAAATGTCAAAACTTTATAACCCAAAAAGAAATTTTTGAGGTTGTTAATGTTTATAATGTGTTCTATAGATATTTAATTAAATCATCTAGCAACGTCGCTCGCTTCGCTTCTCTCAAAGAGAGAGAGCGAGAAGCGAAGCGAGCGACGTTGTCAAATCGTTGTTAAAATTAAATGTCAACATTTTTATAACCTAAAAAGAAATGTTTGAGGTTGTTAATGTTTATAATGTATTCTATAGATATTTAATTAAATCATCTAGCAACGTAGCTCGCTTCGCTTCTCTTAAAGAGAAAGAGAGCGAGAAGCGAAGCGAGCGACGTTGCTAAATCGTTGTTAAAATTAAATGTCAACATTTTTATAACCTAAAAGGAAATGTTTGAGGTTGTTAATGTTTATAATGTGTTCTATAGATATTTAATTAAATCATCTAGCAACGTCGCTCGATTCGCTTCTCTCAAAGAGAAAGAAAGCGAGAAGCGAAGCGAGCGACGTTGCTAAATCGTTCTTGAAATTAAATGTCAAAACTTTATAACCCAAAAAGAAATTTTTGAGGTTGTTAATGTTTATAATGTGTTCTATAGATATTTAATTAAATCATTTAGCAACGTCGCTCGCTTCGCTTCTCTCAAAGAGAGAGAGCGAGAAGCGAAGCGAACGACGTTGCTAAATCGTTCTTGAAATTAAATGTCAAAACATTATAACCCAAAAAGAAATTTTTGAGGTTGTTAACTTTTATAATGTGTTCTATAGATATTTAATTAAATCATCTAGCAACGCTTTCACTTTGCTTCCCTCAAAGAGAAAGAGAGCGAGAAGCGAAGCGAGCGACGTTGCTAAATCGTTGTTAAAATTAAATGTCAACATTTTTATAACCTAAAAAGAAATGTTTGAGGTTGTTAATGTTTATAATGTGTTCTATAGATATTTAATTAAATCATCTAGCAACGTCGCTCGATTCGCTTCTCTCAAAGAGAAAGAAAGCGAGAAGCGAAGCGAGCGACGTTGCTAAATCGTTGTTAAAATTAAATGTCAACATTTTTATAACCTAAAAAGAAATGTTTGAGGTTGTTAATGTTTATAATGTGTTCTATAGATATTTAATTAAATCATCTAGCAACGTCGCTCGATTCGCTTCTCTCAAAGAGAAAGAAAGCGAGAAGCGAAGCGAGCGACGTTGCTAAATCGTTCTTGAAATTAAATGTCAAAACTTTATAACCCAAAAAGAAATTTTTGAGGTTGTTAATGTTTATAATGTGTTCTATAGATATTTAATTAAATCATCTAGCAACGTCGCTCGCTTCGCTTCTCTCAAAGAGAGAGAGCGAGAAGCGAAGCGAGCGACGTTGCCAAATCGTTGTTGAAATTAAATGTCAACATTTTTATAACCTAAACAAATTTGTTTGCGGTTGTTAATGTTTATAATGTGTTACTACAGAGATTTAATTAAATAAACTAGCAACGTCGCTCGCTTCGCTTCTCTCAAAGAGAGAGAGAGCGAGAAGCGAAGCGAGCGACGTTGCTAAATCGTTCTTGAAATTAAATGTCAACATTTTTATAACGTAAAAAAAATTATTTTTGTTATATTTATATTATGTTACCATTGAGATTGAAGTAAAATAATCTTTTTCTCGTATTAATCCGTTATATCGAGGTTTCACTGTAATGATTTTATTGAAATTTCCTTTTGTAAGAAGCAATCGATAATTTTCATTGTTACATTCTTGACGTATCATTAATTAAATCTTCAATAAACGTCCGTCGATATCAAAAGAACGAATTTTCTTTAGTTTAGAGTCAACTTTCACGGAGTTAACGTAGCGAAAAAAATTTTTTTTGCGTGCCACCAAAGTTTTACGATCAAAATATTATAATCTTTCTGTTTTCGTACTTAATTGCATCGTGAGACACGAACGAAATGATAAATGGAACGCTCCAATACCCGTAAACGTCTCCACGCTACTATAATATTTATTATTGAGTATCAATAATATTTTTTTATAATGGTTTTTATGCCGTGTAGTAAATCATTTAAAGATATCTGAATGGAGGGGGTGGTTGAATGGCTTAGTAAACGTACCCCGGGATCGCGTGACACCCTGTACATCCCCTCTACGGAACCCATCCTACATAGAAACGGGGAAATCCTAAAGTTGGTCTGTCGTGAGTTAACTTCCGGTGAAGGCGAAGGTAGAGAAGGTGGTGGTGGTTTATCTTCGACTTGGGGTGAAGTTAAAATCAAAGAAGATAGTAATATGTCGAGGGTAAAAAAATAAATTTTGATTCTTATAAATATCTTTATATTCTTATAAGGGGTTAATAACCCCTTACAGGAATTTGCATGTTGAATCCGAAAGGATTGTATTCTAGTGCCGGGTGGAGACGTTCGCGTGTAGATAAAACTTTTCCATGTTGTGGACGAGTTTCCTACTAAACTATTTTTCATTTCATTTCCTTTATTTCTATACAAACAGGTTACATTCGAGAAGAAGATGAGCAACCCGGATAGAAAAAGACCCCCGATTTATCGCCCCAAATCTAGAACAGACGTAAGATACTTTCCAAATTAAATTAATTTCTTTTAAATTTAATTAAAATTCCATTTAGACCGCAAGATCATCAAGTAGATTAGACACATCCCGATCAAGAACCGACCAAAATAGCAGCGATGAAGACTTGGCAAGACAAAACACCGACTTGCGACAGCGCTTACAAGACGAAGCGAGTCTTTACCGCCGAAAATTAGACACCTATAGACAAGCACAACAAAACCAAGCAGCTTTAGTTAGTAGATTACAAGCTAAAGTACTCCAGTACAAACAAAGATGCGCGGAACTTGAGGACCAAATCACCGCACATCACCACGACGATCACGATTACGACCAACTTCATCACAAGATTCCACTTTCATCAACATCTAGTGGAGGATCAGCTTTGGAGCAAGCACAACAACACCTAAGAGAAATCCGGGAAGAACGCGTAACAGATTTAGAAACAGCTTTAAGACGATTAGATGATGAAAGAGCGAAATGCGAAAAAATGATGCAACTAAACTCAACGTTACGGGAACAATTAGACGAATCGAGACGGACCAATGAAAATCTAACGGCCGATTTACAAAAATTAACCAACGATTTCGAGGAATTACGCGAAGAAATCATCGTTAAAGAGGACGAATGGAAAGATGAAGAACAAGCTTTTAACGATTATTATAGCACCGAGCACAATCGTTTGTTGAATTTGTGGCGAGACGTCGTTGGGATTAAACGACTGTTTATGGATGTTCAATCAACGACGGAAAAAGATCTTTCAAAATTAAAAATGGAAATCGGAAATATGGGCAGAGAGGCATCGCACACCGTCGGAAGATTGGATAGAAACATCTCGATGGAATCGCTTTTAATAAGGAGCGAAAAACCTTACGATGACAATTTAAATTTCAAATCGCAAATAGATGCTTTGAAAACTCAAAACGATAATGCACAGATTGAAATTAAAATGAAAGAAGATAAAATTAAACAGTTAATGAAGGATTTTCAAATTTTGGTAAGAAAATTTAATATACAATTTCACTTAAGATGCAATATACAGGATGTCCCGTTAAGCGTACGGAGCGGCTGTATCTCAACAACGGTAAGGCCTAGAGGTTTGGGAAAAAAATCTTTATAAGCAAAGTGGGCAAGAGAAATAGCTGGAAATTATTTTGAAGTTCGTAATTCGACCGCTAGGGGGCGTAACTGCCATAGAGAAACATAAAATTCCCGCTATCTCAGAAAGTTAGACGATGAGCTATAACTTTGACAACATCATTTAGTAGCTTGGATAATACCGCATCGCTTTTGTTTTGCAATATTTTTCATATCTGTCATAATAAGGGAGGGGGAGGCCAATGCGTTTTCAAATGTTTACATTTTAATATCTCCTGGACCATTCAACCGATTTGAATATTTTTGGTCTTGTTTGAAAGAGCATTTCATGCTCTTTTAAAAGATATTTTCAGTAAGACCGCTTGGTTTAAAACAAATAAGCTAGAGGGCGTTATCTGCAGCGGTTACATATTTTTGTGATTTTTGAAAAAAAGTTAAATGGAACGGTACTATTTACTTCACAGACCGTTAATCACCATAAAATTTGCTAAATATTAGTGAAAACCGCATCTCGATATCTCCATCCATTCTCGAATTATAAAAGAAAATGTTAAAAATTCGTATATCTTAATCGGATCAAGTTACCTTAGGAAACAAATAAGAGAGAACAAAAATTTTATTATCTAGAACCTTCCTTCACACTTTATCCAAGCTTAGAACTGCTTCAAAACTACTTTTGAGGCGTGTTGAAAAGCCAACGGATCAATGAAACATCAACAATGATAATAAAACAAAATAAACCAAAACACTTAGAATAACTTAAATTTTTGGCAAAAATAACTCACTAATGTGCGAAATGCCTTCCATAAACCTCGATGCATTTATTTAATCTAGTTTCGACGAAAAAAAAGCGCTGCTTAAGTCTCGGCCCTGGACACGTTTTTACTGGTATTTAGTGTTTTGTCATATTTTCCCTGGTTATTGGTTTTTCTTGAAAAGTCAGGTCGTTTAGTCTACCCAATAGATAAAGGGGTGAAAGCAATGTGGGTTTTGCTCGAACCAAGAATGCATATTATGCAAGTTTACATCAGCTTGTGGACAGATGCTTCATGCATCCATAGCATTTGTGATAAAAGGTTTGGATTTGCCCAAATCATATTTAAAAGTCAATGGTAATAGTTCAGTCTGTTATCATAATCGGTATCTGTTAAGGCCTGATGTAAAACAACGTGGTGGAGATATTATTCTCTTGAGAACTCTTGTGGACAATTGTTTTCGGAGTTCCCAGATTATGTGGGATCACATTGCGCACCAATATGATTTACGAATTCATAGAGATGTCTGAATGGGCTACACGTTGCCAGTTTTCCGTAATCGCTAAGTCAATCTTAAAAACACTTCTAGAGAAAAATGTCTTTCTTTGTCGTAATTGCATTGCACATTTTTGCCATGCAGTTGCATCGTATTCGAAACATTGAAAATAAATCATCATACGCTCTATCATACGCTTCTGCGTTAGTAAATGACATGTTTACAGTTACCATGGTAATGTGATTTGTTTTTCTCGATGAGGTAACTGGATCCGATTGATGGCACTCGAGTTTTTAACATTTTCTTCTATAACTCGAGAACGGGTGGCGATATCGAGATGCGGTTTTCACTAAAATTTAGCAAATTTTAAGGTGACTAAGGGTCTGTGAAGTAAATAGTATCGTTCCATTTAACTTTTCTTCAAAAATCACAAAAATATGTAATCGCTGCAGATAACGTCCTCTAGCTCATTTGTTTTAAAGCAGACGGTCTTACTGAAAATATCTTTAAAAAGAGCATAAAATGCTCTTTCAAACAACACCGAAAACATTCAAATCGGTTGAATGGTCTAGGAGATATTAAAATGTAAACATATGAAAACGCATTGGCCTCCCCCTCCCTTATTATGACAGATATGAGAAATATCGCAAAACAAAAGCGATGCGGTATTATCCAAGCTATTAAATGATGGTGTCAAAGTTATAGCTCATCATCTAAGTTTCTGAGATAGCGGCAACTTTATGTTTCTCAATGGCAGTTACGCCCCCTAGCGGTCGAATTACGAACTTCAAAATAATTTCCAGCTATTTCTCTTGGTCACTTTGCTTATAAGGATTTTTTTCCCAAACCTCTTGGCCTTACCGTTCTAGAGATACAGCCGCTCCGTACGCTTAACGGGACACCTGTATAAAAATATATTTCCATAGAAACGTACCTACTTACTTTGTCCCACATAAAATGCAACATATCAATATAATGTGACATTACAGTAAAACCTCGATATAACGCATCAACACGGGGAACTCAGTGTCGGTTATAGCTCAATAAAAATATACTACAATTTAGCGTTAAATAATAAATAAAACTAGACTAACACTAGATCTAGAACTATCGAGAAACATTCCGTTTAATTGTACCTCTCTTAAGATGGCTGGTAGGTGGCGCTAGTTAGTATAAAATATCACTACGTTGCGTATTTTTATTGAACTAAAACTAGAACTAACACTAAACCTAGAACTAGAATCATTCTTGTGTTAGTAATAACGATAGTGTTAGTGCAAAACTAGAACTAATACTAGACCGAGAACTAGAAAGTATCGGGTTTAGCCGTGCTTTCTAGGTCTAGTGTTAGTTCTAATTTTACACTAGCACTATCGCTAGAACTAACACATGTCCTAGAATTAGAATTATTCGGGTTTAACCGTCTTGAGAGACGTGCTGCTAAACCCGAATGTTTCTAGTTCTAGGTCATGTGTTAGTTTTAGTTTTGCACTTTCACTAGAACTAACACAAGACCTAGAAATAGAACCATTCGGGTTTAGCCGTCTTGAGAGACGTGCGGCTAAATCCGAATGTTTCTAGTTCTAGGTGTAGTGTTAGTTCTAGTTTTAATTGTTATTCAGCGTTAGATTGTGGTATATTTTTATTGAACGAAAGGTGGAATTAACACTAGACCTAGAACCAGAAACCTTCAGGTTTAGCCGTGCGTCTCTTAAGACGGAACCTCAGAGTTATCATAAGGACGTCACCCAAAAGCAAAACTTTTCCCTTTTTAGTTTTACAAAACTACCCAATGCCTGTACTATTAAGTTATGTTGCATTTTATGTAAGACAGTGCAAGTGCTGATGTAACATATTCAAATAACATTAAATATATGTCAAATGAGCTAGTAGCTATTAGGCGAACAACATATGGATCACCCTCTTGTGCATTGTGGGATATTTTTAATTAAAATTTTAAACAGCTAATTGGGGCATAGCGCATGTCCTATTCTTAGTCTAGTAATGAGAGTGTGGAACTGGCGTGATACAAAGGGAACTTTTTGAACTATTAAATTTTTGTTGGCACATAGCGTAGCTAATCCTTTTAGTTGAGCTGCTTCTAGTCCACTCTTGTTCCATTCATCCCTGTCCCTGGCTTCGCTCCTCCAACTCCTACTCCCGACCATCTCCCTAGCGTCCTGGTCGACTGCATCCTCCCATCTCAATCTCGGCCGCCTCCTCGGTCTCACTCCCTACATTTTTCTACCCATTGGTTGTCCCGGTACTCTCTCTTCTCCCATTCTAATCACGTGGCTAACCCATCTTAGGCGTTAGAGTCTGACGAACTGTACTAGTTCGTGCCAGTTTCCTCAGGCAAGCTTTCATCTTCCCAAAACCTCTACAGCAGTGTATAAATTCTCCTTGCTAACTCCTCGCCTTCAGCACTCTCGTTTTTAAGCGCCGCAATTGCGTCTTGAACCTCATCAATGGATATGGGCTACGTGGTCTTCTCCTCTTCTTGGTTTGTTGTACCATGATCCACCTCCATTTGGGATCCCATATTTAGTAGGTTTTAGCGAACCTTCCGTATACAGGGTGTTCCGGTGACTCGGGGAATAAAATTAACCTCATATACTAGAGCAAAAATGATGACGATTGGTGATAAAAATTTATTATAAAAGTCTTCAAATGGCCAAGATATGGGCCATCAAAGTTCAAAAATTTTAACACATTTTTCTAAATATTTTCAATACCATTTATGGTAGAGCGTTGAAATTTGGTACAGGGTAAACAAATATCAAGCAAAATCATTGAACCAATTTTGACTTTGATCGGGCGGCGGCAACCATGCTATACAGGGAGTCCCTAAAATTTGTTTGCTCAGAACTTTTTTGTTCGATCGTAACCCTACATTTATTTTTGCAGTTTCTAATAGAAAATTTATTTTAGAAGCTTTTATCACTCTTAGATAATATTGATAAAAATCACCGTTTTCGTGTTAAATGCAAAAATGGTAGGCTCCCATTTCAATAACACTAAAAAAAAAGTCTAAGTCTGCCATGACAATTAACAAACGAATTCATTGACAGTTGTAAACACGCTTAGTCGTTTAAACAAATACTAAAAACCTTGTAGTGTTCGAAATGGAAAATTACACGTTTGGAGAACAAACCGATATGCTTTTAACATTGGGTGAATGTCTTGGAAATTCCGTAGCAGCCGCTAACCGTTATCGGCAAAAATTCCCGAATCGTAGAACCCCCAACAGAAAAACGTTTTCTCGAATTGAAGCCCGATTAAGAGAAAATGGATCACTAAAACATATCTTTCTGAACAACGGCAACCCTAGATCTGTTCGAACTCCTCAATTGGAAGAGTTAATTTTAGAACATGCAGAAGAAAATAGTACCACTAGTACTTCGGACATGGCTAGGCGATTTGGGACGTCAAAAACGACTGTGTGGCGTATTCTTCGAGAGCAGCAGCTTTACCCATTTCACTGCTGTAAGGTTCAGGAAGTACAGCTTACCGATTATCCAATTAGATTGGAATATTGCCAGAAAATGCAACAGAAAATACAAATTGATAATCAGTTTTTAGAAAAAATACTTTTCACCGATGAATCTACTTTTTCCAAAGATGGAATAATTAATTTAAGGAATTTACATAGTTGGGCTGAAGAAAATCCAAAATTTTTCAAAACTTGGAAATCTCAATGGAGATTTTCTCTCAATGTTTGGGCTGGGATTGTGGGGGATGTCATTGTTGGTCCCGTTTTCTTGCCGTCAAGACTTGATGGCCCTACATACCATCAACATTTGGAAGGATTGGACGAGTTCTTAGGTGACGTTCCGTTAAATACCAGAAGGGACATGTGGTATTTACATGATGGTGCCCCTGCGCACAGCACAAATGCAGTGAAGGAATTTCTAGGGAACCGTTTCCCGGGACGGTGGATCGGACGAGGAGCGGAAGCATCGATAACTTGGCCGGCCCGGTCACCAGACCTTACACCTATGGACTTTTATTTATGGGGGCGAGTTAAATCATTGGTCTACAGCGTTGAAATTAGATCAGTCGATCAGCTCAGGCTACGAATCGTCGATTCATTCGACCAAATTCGAACGGAGATAAATGTACTGCCTAGAGTACGATTTAATTTAAGGCGACGATATCAGGCATGTATTGATGCTAACGGAGGTCTTTTTGAACATTTCCTATAGTATTTTTTATTACTTGTCTTGTTATTTTATGTATTTGTTTTATTTTTCCTGTTAGCGTTGTCGTTAAAATTAAATTTATTGTTTTGTATTATCTTTTATTAAATCAACTAAAACAAATTAAAAAGGGATTTACCTAATCTACACTTGGAAATGTTACATACATAATATTTATGACGGCTCAGTTCGATTTTCACTTGTCATGGCCGACTTAGATTTTTTTTTTTAGTGTTATTGAAATCGGAACCTAACATTTTTGCATTTAACACGAAAACGGTGATTTTTATCAATATTATCTAAGAGTAATAAAAGTTTCTAAAATAAATTTTCTATTAGAAACTGTAAAAATAAATGTAGGGTTACGATCGAATAAAAAAGTTCTGAGCAAACAAATTTTAGGAACATCCTGTATAGCATTGTTCCCGCGGACCGATCCAACTTATAAATTACCCAATGGTTTTACGTGATATTAGTTTATACTGTACCAAATTTCAGCACATTACCATAAATAGTGTTTAAGATATTTAGAAAAATGTGTTAAAATTTCATAACTTTGATGGCCTGTATCTTCGAAATTTGAGGACTTTTACTAATTTTTTTTACATGAATCGTCATCATTTTCACTCTAGTATATGTGGTTAAATTTGTTCCCCGAGTCACCGAAACACCCTGTATATGCAATATGCATATGATATTCCAGGTGGCTTTTATTTTATTGTTAGGCTGTCTCAATCTTTCTAGAATATATATTTCTTTTTGAAATCTCAATTTCATTACGTACGTATTGACAGTACATGTTATAATAGTTTCTATCAACCTTTCCTGACAACACTCCTTCATATAATTGTCGTTTAATAGATGTCTTGTATTTTATTTCTTTAGTAAGCCATCTTTTGTTTTCTAAATTTGACATAGTTTTAGTTATTTTATAGTTGGTTTTTTTAGTAATTGACTCCCAATAACTCAGTATATGACACTTCAGCGTTATCTTGGCTCATTATCGTAGTCCAATCAGTCATTTTTATTTCAGTATGAATATCTTGTAAGATCTCGTTACTAAAAATGCGTTTATTTATAAATCTAATTTCTGGGTTTTCTGGAATCTCAGTTATAGGAAAAGTTATTTTTTGAGCGTTATGGTATTACATTACATTACATTACATAGAATACATATCGGGTAGGCGGACCAACCAACCTTGCACCGCGACCCTAAGGATCTATTGTACCCCGATAGATATCATTATCAAATTTCACCGTGCAGTCCAATGCTCTTAACGAACATTAATACCTTGCTCGGCGAAAGGTCATTCAGATCTTTTGAGGAGATAAACTGCGACCCAAAAATCGAGAATCTGATACGGTTAACGGCAGGGCAGTGGCATAAAACATGCTCAACCGTCTCTGCTTCCTCCGCACATAGTCGGCATTCAACATCGTCGGCTAAACCCAACAAGTTGAGGTGTGCTTTTAATCGGCAGTGCCCAGTAAAAACACCCATTAGAACTTTTATGCTACTACGGGCAAGTCCTAAAATATTCCCGGGTTTGACAGTGGCGATGTTAATAAACACCTTAGCATGTCTCATTCCAGGAGAACTGGTCCACAGTAGGCGAAGTCTCTCTTCAGCCCACAGTCCAATCCTATATTTGGCCATCGCAAATGATACACCAACTGCTGGTTCCGGTCCCACAAACGCTTCAGCGCTGCCATCTCGTGCTAGCTTATCTGCCGCTTCATTGCCAGCAACCCCAGAGTGACCCGGGACCCAGATCAGAGAGACTCTGTTATCACAACTCAGTGTGTTTAATGTTCTCTTACAATCATTAACCAGAGCCGACACCGTTTTCACGGCTTGCAGCGCCTGGAGAGCGGCTTGACTGTCTGAGAAAATTCGTACTGTCATGTTCTTCACCCCTCTTTCAAGAAGGATTTTAGCACCCATGTCAATAGCAAATACTTCCGCCTGGAATACAGTACAGTACGTACCCAGGCTGTAGGCTTGCTTAATTCGAGGTGTCTGGCAGTATACTCCTGCTCCTACCCCTTCAGGCGTTTTTGATCCATCTGTGTACAAGCAAATGTCTGCCCGAACCAGAGAATTTTCATTTTCGATCCAGGACTGCCGCTCAGGCAGTACAATCTGGTATCGAGCATTAATCACTGATAGTGATACCGCCAAATCTGACGGCATTGATAGCACAGTATCAGTGCTTATAATGTCTTCCGCAGCCCATTGGTAGGACATGTCGGAACAGTTTTGAGCATATTGCTTAAATCTGTAAATGGTTGTTCTAGCCACTTTCTCTATATGCAAATGCAGAGGAGATAGGCCAAGCAGAACCTCCATTGCTAGAGTTGGCGTTGTGCCTATCGCACCAGAGATTGCCAATCCAGCTACTCGTTGAATTCGTGAAAGTTTACTGATAACTGAAGTCTGTCGGACTTTCCTATACCAGGCTGCTGCTCCGTATGTGATCATAGGTCTAACCACAGTCACATAGAGCCAGTACAGTCTTTCAGGGGTAAGACCCCAATTTTTTCCACAAAGACTGCGACAAGTCCACAAGGATAGTCTAGCTTTGTGCAAAACTCCCTGCAAATGTCCATTCCATGACAGGGTTTTGTCTAGGATTACTCCTAGATATTTGACTTCCTTTGAGAAAGGAATTTCTTCACCTTGGATAGTTGGGCGGATTAGTCCATCCAACTTTCGCTTCCTGGTGAAGGGCACAACAATTGTCTTTTGCGGGTTTATTGAGAGGTTCTCTCCCTTACACCAAGCGCAAATGGTATCTAGGGTCACCTGGAGGACTTTAGATATCCTCGGCAAACAGGTTCCTTTGACCATAACGACAATGTCATCGCGTTATGGTATTGCTCAATGTCCTTATTTACCACACCAATCATTCTACTGTGTGATCTTAAGCATTTATATGATCCAGAGACAAATATGATCATGTTTGTGGTTAGATTATGCATAAATATTGAATTGGCGGTGTAGAAATTTATAAAACGTCACCAATTTTAATTTAACAATTGTCGAATTAATGTTTTTTTCTTCAAATCGGCTAAAAAATAAAATAAAACGTTTTAAAATTATTAAAAAAATTTTTAAGGTTAGGTTATTTCAAATTTTAATACGTCAAATTGACGTTTGTTGATAACGAAAGAAACTAGTTGTCATGGAAACGTTGGGTAGGGTTGAAAATAAAAATTTTTGATATTAGAGGTTATGCATAAAAATTGAGTTGACATTTATGATACTTTTTAATTAATTAATAACGTTTAAAGGAGGAACGTTGCGAAGCGGCCGAAAAAAACGTTTCACAATCGTTTCGTCTTCAAGAAGACTTAGATATTCTACACGGAGCTTTGAGAGATATAACGCACGCTTTAATTCAAGACTCGGAAGCTAAAGAGCAATGCACCGGAAGCTCTCACGTACATTTAAGCGCCCAATTAATAGCGCACAGGTAAAAATCTTCATTTAAAAATGTTTAATTTTTATAACATAACCTTTTTAGGTCTCAAAAACCAACGAAATCAAACGTTTCCCCGGCAGCTTTTGCGGAGAGCACGATTTCAGCGGTCCAAGCAGCTTTACATAAATACCAATCGATGATTCATGAACTACAGGTAAATTTACTTAAATTAAATGATTTTTTTTGTAATATTTGGTTAATTAATTTAAGGTTAAGCTCCAATCAAATAAGGAGCAACTTTTGTTGGTTCGGAAACAAAATGAATCATCGGAAGAGAATCTTCAAACGATGGAACAACGCTTAAAAGAACTCGTAGCTCAATTGGATGCAAATCGGGCTCAATTATCGCATTGCTCGCAAGAAAGGGACACTTTACACAAAGCTTTGGAAAGTTTTAAAGTTGAAAATATGGCTTTAGATAAACACCGCGTTGAAATTAATTGTATCGTTGAAGGGTTAAATTCGGATTATGAAAAATTACAAAAAGAAAATCACCGACTTCAAAAGGATTTAGATATGATTCATGAAGAAAAGATTTTTTTGCAAACTGAAATGGAGAGATTAAATCAAAACGCGGAAAATCAAGACATTAATTTGCGAGCGGAAGAGGATCGATGCAGCCGGATGAGGGAGGAATTATTGGTTGTTCGCGAAGAGCTCAATCGATTATATTTAAATCACGATTTATTAGAACAACAAAAAATCGAAGCTGACGAAATGATCATAAATTTAGAAAAAGCCAAAAACGAAGCCGAATCGAAATTGGATAGAGCGGCAGGCGAACGAAACAACGTCAACGATAACTTGGCAAAACAAGAAGGGGTTGTTAATGCTTTGGAAACGGACAAAAAAAAACTTCAAGAGGAAATTAAAAAATTAGAGGGGGAAAAAGTTGCGCTTCATTCGCAATGTGGCGATCAGCAGAATGATATTCAATCGTTGAGGAAGGAGTTGCTTCAAGCAGAGCAACAAAAATTAAATTTGGAGTCGGAAAAAGTTAGTTTAAATGAAAAAACGAAGTTTTTAGAAATTGAGAAAGGGAAGGTAATTGGAATTTTGAGAGGTTAAGTAAAAAATAAAATGATTTTTTTTTAGGTTGAGATGGAATTGGGTCAAGTAATCCGAGAAAGAAATGATTTTTCAAATCAATTAACCGTTTTGAATCGAAAAAAAGATGCTTTAAACGACGAATTAATTAGGACGCGTCAAAAACTCGAACAAGCCTCCGAAACGAATTCCCGAATCAACCGAAATTTAGAGGAATTAGTTCGAGAATGCGAAGAGAAACAATGTTCGATGGACGCGTTAGATAAAGATCTACAACGTTTAGCAGAACAATTAGCTGCGGTTCGGTGCGAAAAAGAAGCTTTAGAAGGCGTTCTTTTCGACGCTCAAACGAACTTGGAATCATGCGAAAATAAAAAGTTCCAATTGGAAAAGGAGCAACAAGAGTTATTGATAAAACAGGAAAGCTTAAAAGGAAACGTGGCGAGATTAATGAAAGATTTAGAGAGATCCGAGAAGAGATGTGTTGAGATTAAAAATGCGATGGCTCAACAAGCTGGAAATCAAGAGGCGGAATTCACAGAAACCATTTTGAACTTAAAAAAAGTTAATGAGGATAATATTAAGAAATTAACTGAAGAGAGGGAGAAGATTCGCGCGGTTTTAGAGAAAAAGTTGGCTCAAACAACGCAGCAAATAACTCACGAGAAAGATTCGGAAATTAATAAGTTATTGGAGCGAATCGAAAATTTGCAGAATCACATCGACAATTTATGTCAGCAACACGAAGAGTTAATGTTACGCGCCGAAAACGATAAACAACAAGCTTTGTTATTAGCGCATCACGATCACCAAGCGCTACAAGAGCGCCTCGATGCCACAAAAAAAGAATTGGAATCGGAGCGAGAAAATTTGGAGCGCCTAAAAAGGGAATCGAACTCCCAATACGAAAACGATCGCGGAAATATTAACCAATTAAAAGAAGAAATTAATAAATTCAAAAATAAATTGGACGAAACCCGCCAAAAATGCGAAGAAGAAAAAATCCGATTAGAATCGAGAATTGAAGAAATCCGAAATGAACGGGATCAATGCCAAAATGAGGTTGAAAATTTAAAGGTTCAATTACATTTAGGTGAAGATAAAATCGATGATCTTCACGGCCAATTACACGAAACGATTCGGAAACTAAAAGAATGCGAAAACCACGCGGAGGGGTTACGGAAGGATTTGATGGACGTAAAGAGGCAATTAAATGATTGCAACATTGAAAAGGAAAAATATCACGGCACCAACAAAGAATTAAGGGAGTTCATCAAAAGAATCGAACAAGAAAAACGCGAAACAACTCGCCAATTAGAAGAAAATCTCCAAAAAATAACCAGCGCGGAAGAAATTAAAACCTCAATTGAGACAGAAAAAACGAAACTTCAAGAACAACTCAAAGAAATGGAAAAAGACCAATTAACGTCCCAACACAAAATCGAATCCCTCCAAGAAGACTTGCAAAGGCAACAAAATTCCGGAGCTCAAGCCCAAGCCGAAGAAAAAGAGCTCCAAGCTCGATTATTAAATGAAATCGAAGAACGAGAAAGAGCCCACCAAGAAATTCACGAAACCAAAAAACAAATCGCTGAATTAGAACGAAACCTCGATCAAACCCGGCAAGAATTATCCCGAACCCGAACTCACTCAATCCACCACGAGGAACAATTCCACGCGAGAGAACAAGATCTTTTAGCGCACCTCGAAGACAGTAGAACGCGCGAAAAAAAATTAGAAGATCAAAAACATAACTTAGAGGTTTGTTTGGTTGATGCGACTCAACAAATACAAGAATTAAAAGCGCGATTAAGCGGCTCCGAGGGAAGAGTCAAAGCACTCGACGCGCAATTAACACAAAACGAAAGCAGCAAACGCGAAATCGAACAAAAATTACACAGCGTTGTTTCAACTTTAAGAAGAATCGCCGGGATACAATTAGACGGGTCATTAACGGCTCCGTATCGCTTAATGAGTCCTTCGAGGAGGTGGTCACCGGCTCGGACATCCCATCAACAACAACAAGAACACGATGGGGATGTTGATCCTGAATCGATTCGAAAGGGGGTGCGAAATTTAATGCAGCAAGTTGCGCAAATCGAGCGGGAAAGAGACGATTTTAAAACTCAAATGGTTTCGATGAAGAAACAACTCCACGAAGCCCACGAAATACAAAGCAAAGGCGATAACAAGTTGGGAAAATTAATGAGTAATTTGAGGACCCTCCAGGATGAGAAAGGCAGTTTAGAAGTGAAATTGGGCCAAAAAATGAAATCCCTCCAAACGCAAAGTGAAATTTTCCAAAAGAAATGCGACGAAAATCAATTGCAAAGGGATCGAATCGTTTCGTTGGAGTTATCCGTTAATTCCATGGGGGAGGATAAACTTCAACTCGAAGATAAAATCGAGAAGTTAAAAAATCAACTATCAAGGGTTGAGAATGAAAAAAGAAATTTCCAAGAGGAGTTATCTCGCGTGGAATCTCGCGCTACTAAATTAGAATTACAAAGAATGTCCGCAGAGGGCGATCTACAACGCCTTCAAATGATGCTACAAGATAAAGAGAACCAGATACAAAAGTGCCACGAAAAGTGCGAATCCCAATCAAAAATTATAACCGCCTTAGAGGAGCGGTGCGTTTCGTTAAAATCAACGATCGACCAACTCACCCAAACTTTAGACAGATCCTCATCGAGCGAAAACGAGCTTAAAGCAGAAATTCAAAACTTACAAAGAAACTTAATGGAATCAACCGCTGCGTCGCATTCGGGAATAGAGCGCCTAAAACATCTACAAAAATCCCTCGCAAACTCCGAAAACGAAAAACGAGTCCTTTCAGAACGCATGGATGGGTGCCAACAAACCGTGGCAGAGTTACGAAGAAACAACCAAATCCTACAAGATCAAATGGCGCGATTAAACAACGAACTCTCGAATTGCGAGGTGCAAAAGTCCGGGTTAGAATCGCAATTGCGAATGTCTCAGTGGCCATCGGGAAGTGAGAACAACGACGATGATTTGATGCGACAATTACAAACGATTCAAAAGGAAAAAACGGAATTACGAGGAAAAGTCGATACGATGTCCCATAAAATGCGACAATTAGAAAGCGATAAAAGAAATTTGGAACGATTAACCAAAACTTCCCAACCTAACTTAGTAAATAAAAGAAGTGAAAAATTCGATGTTGATGGAGACGATTTTAAATTGCAACAAGAAAATCGCGATTTAAAACTGAAAATACAAAAGCTTGAGAATGAATTGACCGAAAAAGAAACGGAATTGGCTAGGTTAAAAACTCGGCAACCGATTTTGGATCAAAAATACGATCGGAGTGAGATTGAAAGATACCGGGCGGCTCAATTGCAAGCCGAGCGTTTGTTGGAAGCTCGCGAACAAAGCCATCGACAACAAGTTCAAAGATTAGAGCATCAATTAGCGATGTTAAGGGAACAATTAAATCAAGAAATTAAAAGGCGTCAACAATATGTTTTACGGTCGACGCGAGCTGGGCGTGAAATGCAACAATTAAGACAAGCTTTGGGTGATTCTTTACGTACCGTTTCTCAAGATCCATCTCTCGATGCTTTGTTGTTAGAACATGAAGCTCGGAAATTAGATAATACCCTTTCAAACACTGCCAGTTTACCTCCAGGATTGTCTTCTTATCGAGCTACAACTCCACAACCTAAATAATATTAAAAAAATTAAATAAACAAAGCTTATTTAATGTGCCATTTAAAAATTGTGTTCACAAAAAAGAAAAAAAAATAGTAATAAAACGTAGAGAAAAAATAATTAAATAGCACTGCTTTTTAAAGTTATGATATCGTTATGTAGATTTTTAAGTTGTAAAAGCTTCGAATTGTTTTAATTGAAATAAATACGTACACATAAAATTGTTTTTAATACAATAATAATTTAATTAAACATAGAATTATGCAAAAATTTTAATTCTTCTTCTCTCTCGCCGTCTTAAAAGACGCACGGCAAAACCCGAATGGTTCTGGTTCTAGATCTAGTGTTAGTTCTACTTTTCTTTGAATAAAAATGATACAAATAACTAGAACTAACACTAGACCTAGAACTATAGTTCGTTTTTTTTCTATAATACTTGTCAATGTAAATTATTTAGGGTTTCTGTTGGTATTATCTAGGACCCTTATAAAATTTATGTTGTTTTCCTGATTTTTAGTAACATTTTCAGTAACTAAATAGTTGAGGCTAAAATACTAATAAATTTTTAGATAAATACGATTTTCACGAAGTACATATTTGTTGTAAAAACGTGCTACAAAGTAATTAATAGAATAAAATACCTTTTCTAGGTAAATAAATGGCCAATAAACACCCCACAACACTTTTTATGCACTTTTTCTTTTTGAATAACGAAAGCTCAAATGTCAATGTGACATATTTACTTCAAAACATGATAAAACAAAACTCCCTGTTAATTTTGCCAACTTTACAACAATTTGACAGGTATTATAGAAAAAAAATGATCTATAGAATGCATCGGGTTTAGCCGTGCGTCTTCAGATTAGCCATAGCGTTTAGCCATGTGTCTCAAAACGGCTAAACCCAAATGATTCTAGTTCTAGGTTTTGTGTTAGTTCTAGTTTTAATTGTTATTAAGCTTCCACTTACTAATTCATAGATGGCGCCACCAATAAAATTTTAATCCATCAAATGTCAATTTTAAAAACTTGAGTTTTCTCGTTAAAATGAGCTCATATTAAATGTTGCAAGTTCTTAATTGCTACAAATTTTAATTTTATGTAATTGAGGTTATGTCCGTTTATATTCAAAAACGATTTTGGACCCAAGATTATTTTAAAATACGTTTTTGGCCAATTCAATAAGGTTATATTGCATTTATTTCAATTGTTTAATCGATAGATGGTGCTGAATTAATTCTTTTTATTTAATTTTGTTGATATTCCTTTTTGTTTTTAATTAATTTTGTTAAATATTAATTAATTAAACGAGTTTCTTTTAATTTTAATTCATATTAATTTATAATTATATTTTAATTAAAGTTTTATTTACTATTTCATAGATGGCGCCACCAATAAAATTTTAATCTGTCAAATATCGAGTGTTTAAAGTTTTAAAAAAACGATTTTTATCATTAGAATCGCTCATGTTAAATTTTGCAAGTTCTTCATTGCTAGAAGTTTTCATTTTATGTAATTGAAGTTATGTTCGTTTGTGTTTAAAAACTATTTTGGCCCCAAGAACATTTTAAAATACGTTTTGGCCCAATTCAGTAAGGTTAGTAAGGTTATATTGTATTTATTTCATTAGTTTAATCGATAGATGGCACTGAATTATTTTTTTTTATTTAATTTTGTTGCTATTCCATTTTATTTTAACACTTTCGTGTTCGCTCAATGTACAATAATTAGGGTAACGCAACGTTAATGGCCGGCATCTTCACTACGTATTGCAAGGTTGCCAGGTCTCACGATTTATCGCGAAATCTCATGATATTACCTTTAATCTCACGATTTAACATGTACTTCTCGCGATTTTATTACAAAAATAATATAATAATTAGTGTTAATAAAATCAAAGTAAAAATCATAGCATTTTCAACTCGAATTCTAGGTTATTGTAAATTTCTCTATTAGTTACATTTATTCGCCGCTAGATGGCGTTAAGAAATTACTTAAATTAATATTTTATTTTCTTTTAATTATATCACTTTTATATGCAAAAGTTATCTAAACTATTTTACTTGAATCCTATGCCTATATGTAATACATATTATTAAAATTGAGTGATTTTGAAGCAAATTTCAACATCTCTCGGTTTTTTATGACATGGCTCACGACATTTTATGTGTGTAACCCAGAGACAAGGAAGGATAGAGATGGCCAACTCTACCTTATTAAATTGTACCTTGCGTACAGCGCCATCCGATGTCACCGCAGAGTACTAATCATAGATTAAAACCAACTTCCACTAGGATAATGGTGTAAAACTGGACTAACCAACGATCTGGCAACATTCTTCGCTGCGCATCGAAGCGAAGCGAGCGACGTTGCCAGATCGTTGGGACTAACTTTAACCGCCAAATTTAAAAATAACACAATTAATATTGCTTTGAAAAAAGGAAATAAATATATTTTAAATGTATAATAATGTATAAATATTAAAATTTAAAAGATCTAATTTCAACATAATAATTTATTATTCACAAAAGTAATAAAATTTGATAACATAAATAGAATATAAGTACGAAGGCTTTCACGACCGGTGTAATTAAACTAGAACTAATAGTAGCACTATCGAAGACGACTCGAAATCACTTCGAAAATTTCTAGCTAGTGTTAGTTCTAGTGATAGTGCTACTATTAGTTCTAGTTTTAGTTCAATAAATAGAATAATGTTACAATTTGTTTAACCTAACAATTTTTGTAGCGTCTTCCTGGATGGTAATGAAAAGAAATTTGATAAGAACCGGTATCCTTTACCACTTTGTTTGTAAATGGAAAGAGCCAGCTCTTCTTTTTTCTGATTTCGGGACTGGCTGCTAAAGAAATTTCTAGTTTCTTTATTCAAATATTTGAGGTTCACCAATACCTGAGGATTTTTCCTCAATTGTATTAGCTTTTGCCTTATTATTCTGGCATTTTTCTTAGCGCGACACAACGCTTTTTTTACTCCACTTAGGTTGCAATTGCTGCAGTTCTTTGTAAAAGGTAATTTCCTCCGTTTCTTATCTACAAAAATAAAGATAAATTTAAATAAGAATGATTATTCAGTTTTTATGGTATTTACCAATTATTTCTTTTTCATCACTTAGGTGGAACCGTTTCCAATTCATTTCTAATGAAATGGCAGAATTTTCCTCACAAAATGAGGTTGAAGCAATTTCGCAACCTTGTTGTTTACTACATCCAGGATAGACTTGCACAACAGTTGAACTAGTTACACCAGGAAGTTTGTCGGGGCATACATATGTGGGGGTATAAATATATATATATGGCATGTCGGGGTATAAACATATATAATATGGTATATAATGAATTATATAATTATGAATTATGAAACTAAATAATTAATTTCATACCATGCAGCATAACTGAAGTATCTTCTGTTGGTTGATCTTGTGGAGACAAAAAGCAATTATTTATAGTTTCTTCTTACAAATCTAAATGATTTAAAAAACATATATAGATTAAAAAACAAACTTTTTATCCAAAATTTCATTTACCTAGTAAGCATAATGTAGGTACCTTTTTCAATTTCTTCTCAACATATTTGCACATTGTTGCAAAATGGTTGGGGCAAACACAATAATTACTTAGACGCTTATCATTAATTAATTCAAATAATTTTGAATTGTGTATTCCAGACAGCCAAGCCATTCGAATAATAGGGTCGGTCGGAAAATAGTATCTAGAAATACAGAAAGTAATTATGTTGTATTAATTAATAATTTTTATAATTTACCTTTTAATGTCTATCATCACAAGATGGTACACAGCAAGGATTAATAACCGACATTTTTATCATTTAAAAAATTTTAAATGTTTTTTACACTTAATTACAAAATTACACTCATAAATTACATTTATTAAAAAAATTAACTGATTTATCAATATCATTTATATTTGACATCACTTAATTTGACTTAATTAATCAAAGATGAATACAAAAAAAAGAAATGAAATATAAGCCACCTTAAAGGTTGTTTAAATTTGAATTTGCGTAGAATTAGTTATCGACGGTGACATCGGATGGCGTTGACGACGGTTACAATTTTCATTCATTTGAGCAATGCAACCCTGATTATGACTATTCATCTTAATTTTTCATGTATTATCTACTCTAGAAGTCTGTCAGCGGTTTTTTGAATCACCCTGTACAGAATAGTTACTCAACAGACCTTGACTGAAAATGTTACTAAAAATCAGGAAAACAACATAAATTTTATAAGGGTCCTAATAATACCAACAGAAACCCTAAATAATTTACCTTGACAAGTATTATAGAAGAAAAATGAACTATACGCAAATCGCGTATTGCAATACCAATACTGTGATATTGGTTGCATACTTGTAATGATGACGTCGGGTCGGATAATTAATAAACACACTGTATATGGTAGCAAGCTCTATGACGTCACATGAGAACTTTAGTGATTTTTCGATAAGTTTTACAGTGATTTCCTGTCAAATGCCTGTCAATTAAAAAAAAATTATAAAACTGAAAAAAAATAATTAAATAGTACTGCTTTTTAAAATTATGGAATCATTAAGTGTTTTTAAGTTGTAAAAGCTTGAAATTGTTTTAATTGAAATAAATACCACCACATAAAATTCTTTTTAATACAAAAATAATTTAACTAAACATAGAATTATGCAAAACTTTTAATTCTTCTTCTCGTTGTTTAGCCCTAATTTTTTCTTTCCTATATGCTTCATAATCCTCATCATCGGTGGGTAATTCAAACCGACATAATGGACAAGAATTTGTCTAAAAAGGATCAATAAAAAATGGAATCACTCATCCTAACCTCACTTACTTTACTTAACCATAAATCAATACATTCCGGATGAAACGAATGTTCGCAAGGCATCTGTTTAAAAGTTTCATCAATTTTAAACCTTTTAAGACATATCGGACATTGATCTCCTAAAAAAATAAATTTTAATGAATTAATTTTTTTTATTTATTCAATTGCTTACCCTCCGAAGACAATACATCCGTTTTTAAGTTTAATACGGCACTTTTAGAGGCAGGGGGAGGTAACCGATTCGTTGTATTCTCATCAAACATCAAAAAATCTCTCAATAATTGTTGAATTAACGTGGTTAGATTGGGAGTTTCGCCGTCTCGTAACGGGGTCCAACCCATTTCATCGAAATAATTTGCCATTTTCTTCAATACAAGCGTTTATGATGCAATGATGTTTAATGAATCATTTTAATTTATGGTTAAATTTGTCGCGTAATGTTGATTGACGTTTAAAATGTCACTTGTAATGAAATAAACAAACAGTTTTTAGTGACATCTATGATTTGGTTAGAAAAAATTGTATAGGAATCTACTTAAAACACAAAATTTTTAAATATTTATTTATTTTGAGAATTAAAATAACGCAAATTAAGAAAAATTATTGTTATTATTAATTTATTAATATTTTAATTGAATTTATTATATTAGGATATTAGTGTACCTAGAGAATCAAAAGAAAGCTTTTTAATTATTTTTTTTTTAACTTTCTAATTTAACAAAAATGATTTACCTAATTATAATAAAGTAAGAGGATTAAAAAAATTTTTGAAGCGTAACCAATTTTATTTTTTTGAAAATTTATTCATAACGGAGATCGTTCGCCACGCTTAAAGCGCGTTTTAAAGCTTAAAACGCAGTGAAAATTTGTTGTTCTCTCCGTCGTCGGTAATGTAAAGCAATTTTAATGTTATTTTTGCTGTTCGACCTTATAAACCGCTCGAAACGACTTGCGGCGTGTAGTTTTTAATCGAACAACAGACCAAACGCGCGTCTTCCACTCAGCTTGAAGAAAAAAAGTACAAAATCGATTTAAAAAATTGCATTAATCTAATAAAAGTAATTTGATTAAAAGGAATCTGTTTGGTTAAAATTTTTTTTGATGCTTTTTTGGGAGGAACGTTGTTATGACAGTGATTGTTTAGTAAAGAAAAATTGGATGTCATCAAAATTCGGTAAGTGGTTATAAATTGATTTTGAAAATTGTTTTAAAAAAGAAATTTTAAGGTTGAATCAGCCACAAAAAAGTAGATAGTATTTACATCGTTTGTAGTTAATTGCTAAAATTGTTTTTCAACTCAACCTAAAAAAAATTTTTTAATCGTAGTTTTTATAATAAGAATATTTTTAAAACGTTTTTTTTTATTTATTTATAGAGCGTGTAATTTTATCAAACGGAAAAATAGATACGATCGCCGGACCGATTAGAAATCCTAATTTATTCTTTAATTTTCCACCCAACAAACCATCTCGTGCTAATTATCCCCTGTAATTATTACCTTCTCCGCTCCTTTTACGTTTTCTAAACGGAAAAAAAACTTTTTATTCTCTTAGTTATCGCCGTTACGTTTACACGGTTAGATATTAAAACAACAATTCCGATTTTTTTATTTTCCATTTTATCAAAACGCAAATAAGTGTAACTTTTTTAGTTCTAATTATGTTTTAAGAGATAAGAAAACGTAAAGTTGTGTATTTTCCGTTTTATGTAAGTATGTATTGATTTTTTTAATCAAGATTTTTTGTTACCAAAAAGCTTGTTGATTGAGGTTGAAGGATTACTTGAAACCAGTTTAGTTTAGGGGTGTTGCAAAAAAATGTTAGAAGTACAATGGAACATAGCATAATGGGTTGATATTTAGCTGGGACTAAAATAAGATTATTCTGCACCGAAATACTTAATGAGAGAACATTAATTAAAGACCATGCTGTAAGAAGATGACGTGGTGCAGATAACATTTTTAACATCATCTAGAACGTAACACTAAATCAACCAACATTTCACTGTTTGGTCATCGACAATAACTGCCATACAACTTGTACAATACAAGGTGCGCTTGGAAGAAAGAGAAATAAAAGAGAAACCAAAAAGAGGAATAATCAGAACACTGTGATAGTGACAGGAAAAGATCTGAGCTTAGAAAAGGAGGAGGGTTGGAGTCTTCAAAATATAGATGTACTCCTTAAAAACTTGCATGAAAACAGGAACAACAATTGCTGCAGGATGTTGGGAATTATATTATTACCAACACTGTTTGTATACCAGAAATAGGAATCCCACCCAATATTTTGTTCACAAATGTAGGTATTTTAACTTGTATCCATACCATCATTTGTTGAAATGTTGCATACAACAGTTAATCAATTGCGAGTAAGTTTTTAACCATAGTCCTAATGATTTGTTTACCATGTTCAACCAATAACGAGTTCACAATCACCATAATTATCATAACACAGCTGGGGAAGGAATTAGTTTATTACAAAGATAGCCCAAATTCTGTTTCTGGGTAAATGTTTCTAGTTCTAGATTTAATATTAGTTCTAGTGACTAAAATAGTGCTAGGTAGATATCTTTTGAGCTAAAACTAGAAATAATTCTAGACCTAGAACTAGAAACATTCGGGTTTAGCCGTCTTTAGAGACGTGCTGCTAAACCCGAATGTTTCTAGTTCTAGGTATGGTGTTAGTTCTAGTTTTATACTTGCACTGTCACTAGAACTAACATTAGACCTAGAACTAGAAACATTTAGGGGCATATATCAAGATTAGGAGTCTCTCTTAAAAATCGATGATTTTTTTTTAATCGATAGGAAATGAGTCAAAATAGGCGTTAATGATAAAAAAAAGTGCGGAAAAGTGTAGTACTTACCGAAAAATCACTTTAAAGTTGCGATTTGACGTTTCTTTTTGGAAGTTCAAAGCAATGTTAAAATTGCATTTTCGTATTAAATCCTAACCTGAAATTGTTNATATATATATATATATATATATATACTTTGAAGAGTAAGAAGCGAATTGGCCTTGAATGTATCTCTACACGAATCTCTGCAGTTTAGGTCGAAGATTAATCTAAAGATATAGATTAATCTAAAATACAAAAAATATCATTTAAAATATCTATTTCTTTTTCAAAGACATATTTTTGTATGATTTGTTGCGAAAAATAAAAAATCAATTTGTTAAAACGTCATTTTTATGACTTAGTTACTTTTTGACGTTAAACTGTCAAATTGACGTTTCAATTTTAAAGTTATAATTCTATTTTTATAAAATTTCTTGTTAAATTAGTTTTATTTACTCGCCTTACCGTTTTATTAACANATACCTACGTTATAGGTCCACAGTTTCCTGCAGTAAAATGCAGGTCCACATGACAGTTTTGGTGTAGGGAGGGTTTGTTGCTAAATAATTGGGATCGCTGTCACTGTCATCAAATTCTTCATACAAGTCTTCTAGGTTTTCATAATAATCTTTAAGATTTCTAACACATTTCCTCTTTCCCTCCATTTCTCATAAGGAGCTTGACACTGTCTTCCCCAAAACTTTGCAAACAACCAGTTGAGGTAATAAAATTCAATGCAAATACAGAGCAATCTAACGGCAATAATTGAAACCTAAACAGTGCTGCTTGTAATTTGTTCAATTTACTCATAGACAGCACTGCTAAATTCGGTTAGGCCAAAATGATGCTTGGCACTCTTTTCTCCCGACCCCTTCAATTATTCTATTTTTATAAAATTCCTTGTTAAATTAGTTCTATTTACTCGCCTTAACGTTTAATTAACAATATGAGACTTATAAGTTGTAAATTATGAAGTTTATTTCTCCAAACTCAATTTTTGTACATTGAAAGTAAGCGTTCATATAAAATATTGATCCATCAAAACGTCACTTTTTTAGATTTTTAGTTTCGTTAATATCATTCCATTTATAAAATAAAATACAAAAAAATATCATTTAAAAGATCAATTTCTTTTTCAAAGACATATTTTTGTATGATTTGTTGCGAAAAATTAAAAATCAATTTGTTAAAACGTCATTTTTATGACTTAGTTACTTTTTGACGTTAAACTGTCAAATTGACGTTTCAATATTAAAGTTATAATTATTCTATTTTTATCAAATTTCTTGTTAAATTAGTTTTATTTACTCGCCTTAACGTTTAATTAACAATATGAGACTTATAAGTTGTAAATTATGAAGTTTATTTCTCCAAACTCAATTTTTGTACATTGAAAGTAAGCGTTCATATAAAATATTGATCCATCAAAACGTCACTTTTTTACATTTTTAGTTTCGTTAATATCATTCCATTTATAAAATAAAATACAAAAAAATATCATTTAAAAGATCAATTTCTTTTTCGAAGACATATTTTTGTATGATTTATTTCGAAAACTTAAAAATCAATTTGTTGAAACGTCATTTTTATGATTTAGTTACTTTTTGACGTTAAACTGTCAATTTGACGTTTCAATTTTAAAGTTATAAATTTTTTTATTAAATTAATTTTATTATTAAAATTGTTATTAAATATGAATTTTCATATTTAGATTGAAGAAAATAATTGTCGACTTTAAATTTATTAATTATTGTTTAGACTAGTCGTCAACAGATGTCATACTGATTAAAAATAAATAAAATAAAAAATTATCTCACAATTATTGCCTTAAAAATACAAACAGTAATAAAATTAACTAAATTCCCGAAAAATTTTTAAGTATCGAATCATAACAATTGAAATTTTTTTAAATCTTATCTCAAATAACTATAAGATTAGATTATGTATGATATTAATCGCTTGTAATAAAAAAAAAATGTCTCCCATCTCATCACCTCATCGACAACAAAACATTCCATTAATTCATTTCTAAAGTGTAAACTAACACAAACCCAAATAACACATTTTTGAGTCAAAAGTCGTTTCGAGTGCTTTAAAATGCCAAAAACCGACAAGAAGAAGAAAAAAGGTAACTTAATTAAAACGTTTTTCGTTCGATTTAAATTTGAATCAGTTTTTTAATTATTTTTTCCTCTATTTTTTGCGTATCCTTTTAGCCCGTGATAATTGGTTCGGTTCGCGTTACCCCGTTTTGTAAATTATGCACCGAGGGTTTTCCCCCCAACATTAATTTAGTCTCTGCGTCGCCCAGTTAATATGGTGTTAAAAATTTATTTCCTCCACAAAATCACTCCTCTAATCTTAATTTAAATTATTAAATATTACGTTATCTTTTGTTTTCTTTACTTGTATTATCTATATTTAAGATCTTATCTTCTATTTATTATTATTTTTATTTCTAAAATTTGTTTAATTAATATTGTTTAAGTTTTGGATACGTTCAGATATTTGACACATTAATGACATTACTAAGTTAAACGTCAAATTGAGTGAAATTCGACGTCACTTTACAGCGGGAGAACGAATTTGTTTAAATTTTAATTTGATTTTGGGAAGAATTAATTAATTTTTTTTTTATTTTCAGATAATTTGGAAACAAGGCTTGTCACAAACGACAATGCCTCGATTTTTTGGTCAGATCTATCCGTAGCGGTCCAAATATTACTTCCGGTCGCTTTAATAGCCTTGTTATTTTCGAAAAAAATTAAAATCCAACCAACTATTAATTATGTAACAGGTGATTATTAATTTTTGCATTAAAAAAGTTTGTTTGATTAATTTTTTGAACTTTTATTTAGGTTTATGGCCATCGGTAACTCAAAAACAGCGTCTTCTAACATGGTTAAGCGACAAAATCCCGTATGCTACGACGGTTCCGAAGAGGATATCGCAATTTTGGAAGGACGGCTCATTATTGTGCACCCTCATTAATACGGTTATTCCTGGGGCGTGCCCTAATCCTCAAAGACACTGGAAACAACCCCCGATACATGCCCAAGCTTTGATCTATAAATATTTCGGATTAGAGCCGGTAAAACTAAATAATTTCTTTTTATGTTTAAAGATTAATTTAATTGTTTTAGGTTTTAACATCGTCCGACTTCAACGAAAAAGCTTTGAGTTTAAGTGATGAAAGTAAGTTTTGTAACTATTTGATATCGCTGAAAGAATTGATTGCGAAGCGAACGATTGATTTGGAATCGTTAACATTCACAAACAAATACATCGCTAGAGGGATGGGGTTAATCGTCGGGGAGCGTAATAAAACATCGACTTTTTATTTGTACCCAAACATTGACGTGGAAAAGCTCGACGATATCCACATAAGCATAAAGGGGCCGTATAATTCGTACGGAAAACGTTGCTTATCCTCCGTGGAGATGTCCAAAAACGCCAAGCGCTTAGCCAAGTTAAGGAGGGACCTTGAAATCGAACGGAAACAACTAACATTTACAAGCAAGACGCAAAAATCGTTTTTTAAGCCGCTTTTCGAGTACGTTTTGCCGAAATACCAAAAGTTAGGGGACATATCAATCGAGACAACGATGGAAAAAGATCGGGCTAAGATTAGTTTTGTTCCAAAACATTCCGGGATGTACGAATTGTTATTAACTTGCAACGATGAACACATTTATGGATCTCCGTTTGGAATTCGCGTTGTGAAGGATTACGAGGAAAAAATCGTTTGCAAAAACATCGGATTTGTCGACGAATCCGTGGATTTAGAGGAGAACAAGATTTTTTTGAAATTGGATCAAAACAACAACGAAGATGATTTAATTGGAAAGATAGAAATGGAAATTATCCAAGATAAAAAGGAAGAAAAAGAAGGAACAACAATTTTAGTTGAAGAAGTAAAAATTGAAAAAGATTATCGTTTCGATGATGATAAAGAGTTCGAAATGATTTATAATCAAAATATAAGCGAAAATGAGAACGAAAAAAATGATGATGTAAAAAACGAGGAAGAAAACGAAATAAATTCCCGAAAAGAAGAAGAAATCAAAAAAGTTGATTTAGAAACGATGGAGAATCAAGAAAACGTTTTAATTGAATCATTAAGCACGAATAAATTAGATGAAGAAGCCAAAATAGAGGAAGAAGAACCCGAATTTCTTCTAAACACCCCCTCAGAGACCAATTTAAACTTTTCAGACAGCGATGACCCAAAAAGTATTTTTTCCCCAAACATCGATTCAGAAATAACCGAAGATTCCTCAAAAATCCCGGAAGACTTAACCGATTCCGACAAAAAAAATGTAACCGAAGAAAGCGACGATGAATCATTAAAATTAATTAACGACTCAGGATTTGTTTCTTGTACAACTTCGATTAAGGATTTACGCGAGCTTTACGAAACGACCAAAACTTCCCCGGTATTAAAAAATATCGAGCAAGAAGTTATTAAATCCGATTCAATTAACGATTCGATTCTTCCCCGAGAAGAAAAGATTTCTACCCCAGAAATAACCGAAAAAATCGTCAACGATTTAGATTTCGAATCAACCGATTTAGACCACGATAATTTTCTTGGAGTAAACGTGTTCGAGATGAAATTAAAATTTGAGAGGAAAATCCAAGAAACGAAAAAATCCCAATACAGCAGAATCAACCGTGGGTTAATCAAAAAATCGAACCTTGATTTCACCCAAAGTATGCCTAATTTGACCATCGGGAAAGACGACTACGAAAAAGAGAGCTTTTTAAGTTACGACGATAAAACGAACGAATTTTTAATGCAATTTAAAGAGAAGAAACAATTTTGGGATCGTTTAGTTGAAACGGGAAGTTGCGTAAGTTTAAATTCGAACGTCCCATCGATTGAAAATGGATTTAAATTAAAATTTGATAAAAAAATTAATAACACTTTATCGTTGAATAACATCGAAAATAACGAACCAAAAGTAATACGATCTAACAAAGTTTTCGATCGTATTAAAATTTTCGATCAAAATTTTAATTCGGAAAAACACACCTCGCTTTTAAAAAAAACCAAAAAAAATATCGAATTTTATCAATCGGTAAAAAATTCTGAAGGAATCGCGAATATTCACGATTTAATGCACGATTTACCAGTAAACGAGGAAGATATTAATTTTATGGAGGAATCGCGACAACGTTTCGAAAGTGCGCGACATTACTTTCGATCGATAGAACAGATTAATTTGGTTGGATCAAACAAAAAATCAGAACCGCAACGAAGTATCAGTATGAAAACGTTACATCAATTTTCCTTAGATAACCTCTATCAAGACAACCCTTTTAATAAGATTCAAAACGGATCTTCGCTTAGGGGCTCGTTAAATAGGGAAGGTATGGCCGAAACTTTAGCCTCAATATCAAGCACCGAAAGTGGACTTGAACGAGATTTCGACGATGAAAACATCGATTTGGAATATTTTCAATTGAGGAAAAAATCGAAACGAAGGAAAAGCGTTAAATCACTCTTCGAGAACCTTAATTATTAACACCAAAACGAATTATTTTAGGAGAAGGGAAACACTTAATTATAAATTATTTATTTTATTGATTAAATTAAATAAGAATAAACGAATTTGTCATTTTGACATTTAACACTATCAAAAAAAAAAATCGGTAATGCCAACTTTGTAATAAAAAAATTCACTAAAGTTGAAGTTTTATTTATTTTATTGACTTTGTTTATTTCTATTATGTTAAAGGAATTAAAACTACCCAATTCGACGCAATACTCATATAATTAAACAATTTTTTTTTTGTTATTTTATTATAATCAAGAAAATACTGAAAATAGTAGTTTTAGTAGTAAATGATTCTCAAAGATGGCGCTAATAACACCGTGTCAATTTGAAGTTTAAAAAATTGATAAATTCTGTATTATTATATCATCAAAAGCATTTTTTTCTTAGAAATTTCTGTTTCTAAAATCTATAATAATTTGTTATTGAGATACGTTTTTTATAACTTCTATTTTTCGAGGTTATGGAAACCAATCATGCGGAGTTGGATTTAAAAAGCACCACAACGTTGTTTATGGAAAATAAGAAACCTCATAGCTATCGAATCTAGAATCTAGAATCCCTTTCTGCGCTTCTTTCCAAAATTAGTCCCAAATATTGAAAAATACCAACGTTTTGCCTTATTTGGGGCGTTTTATAAAGACCCATTAAAGCATTAATTGGCTGTATCCACGCTACCCATGTATTTATTGTATTCGTTTACTATGGCAGGACAGGTTATATCTATCTACGCTTTAGAATTTTTATGGAACCTCTTTATAGCACTTGAACGCTCAATTCCATGCAGAGTACTGCCTAACAGGACAGCTTTTTGGTAAATATATAGATGATATACCAGCAATCACGAAAAATTTATAACTCTACCTCTGGGATTTGTTTTACTGTTTCATTCACAGACCATGAAATGTGAAATTTCTAGTTCTAGTGATAGTGCTAGTGAAAAACTAGAACCTGTAGTTGTTACATACGGTTTGGTCTCCCTTCTTATGATAAGGCACGCTTATACCTATGGTCCAGTCTTTTGGGAGTTTTAGTGCTTCCAGATTAGTTTCATCAGCCTACATATATCCAGATCCATCAGCTTGTTTATTCCATGTTTTAGACGGTGTACCATCGATATCAGGTACTTTATGGTTTCTTCAAGTACTTCTTCTTCCGTGTGCGGGGGTCATATTTCTCTCTTTCATTTTCCGCGTCTTCCATTCCTTCCAAGTGTTCGTTGCCGTCCAGCGTTTCTTCAGTTTCCTCACTTCTCATGTTTAGTCTTTCTTAAAAATTTTCGGCCCTTCATTCTAATATCTGTACTTGTTCACTAATAATAAGCATTTTATTGTTTTTGATAATTACAATTTTCCCTTTAATACATCCTAATATATGTCATTAGTATATTATTTTCACCCTCTACCCTCTTCCTCCATTTCCATACCCTCGACTCCTCGGCCCAATCCTCTCCTCGTCCATCCCTTTGTCTCCTCAACCCCACAACCATTCTCATCCATCGTTTCCCCTCTCTCCCCTCTCCTAAGATCTGTCCTCGGTCCAACTCCTCCTCCCTCAACTCACTGCACCCATTCAACATATGTTCCAACGTTTCCCATTCCTCCCTGCATAGCCTACACCACCTCTCCTCATCGGCCATCCAGTATCTGTTAGCTCTCTCCTCTTTTCCACAACGGAACCTAGCCACCAACTTCTTCCCTTCCTCATCTCCTTCCAATAACAAGTATCTATGCAGCCCCTCCGTAATTATGTCCCTGTACCTTCCGTTATACCTCCCCTCTTTTATTTGTGTCCTTCTTTCCTGTCTCTGCACATCTCGGTCCCTATCTCTCAACTCCCTCCACATCTCCCTACCCATCCTTCTACTATTTATCTCAGTTACCGAGTAGTCCGCTCGTCTATAATAGTTGTCTCTGTCTCCTTTCCCATATCTGATCTTTCCCTATATACCCCGGTGTTTATCTTGCCACCCCAAGCACCCATCTCCAGTATCTAGCTTGCACGTCCTCCAGCATTGCCTGCTCTCTCCATCCCCATACCTCTGCCCCATACATCATCACACTGTTAACCAGACCTTCAAACATAATCTTCCTCGCTGCCACATTCCTTCCAAAGACTCTCTTCCTCCAACCCCATACTTGTCCCATCACCTTATTCGCCTTTTTTGCCATAGATATCACATGCGACCCCTCCCTGTTGTCCTCCCTGAACACATACCCCAAGTAAGTATACTCCCTAACCTCCTCGATCTCTTTTCCCTCCCATCTCCAGTTTTCTGTTCTTTTTCTCCCCCCCTTACAAAACTTCATCATCCTTGTCTTCCCCACATTCACTTCCAGCCCCTTCCCCCTAAAATATCTTTCCAATGTCTTTATCATATCTTTCATCTCCGCCGCTTCTCTCGCCATGACCACGATGTCATCCGCGTATGCTAACATATGCACCTTTCTACCTCCCACCACCAAGCCTCCCATTTGCCCCTTCCCCAATCTGTCCTCCAGGTCCGCCGTATACAGTGCAAACAGACTTGGGCTCAGCGGACATCCCTGCCTCAGTCCCTTCGTCGTCCAAAACATGTCGCTCAGCTTGTATGTGTATGTAGGAAAGCGGAGGGTATGCTACGCACACAGCACCTAGGCCCCAACGGGCCCCTTGTACATCCTCCTACACTGTCTCCGGCTACATCAACCAGCCTAAGGAATTTCCGAAGGCTAGGATACAGCTCAGAGGTGTGTTCCTGATGCCATCTGTGGTCGGCCATTCCTCTCCGAAGTCTCTCATTCTGAGGTCTTGCAGAGTGGGGCATTCACACAAGATGTGTCGGACCGTCTCCTCGCTCTCTTTACAGAGGCGACAGAGAGGACTAACAGCAAGCTTAAGGTTATAAAGATGCTTGTTTACCTTACAGTGACCCGTGACGAGTCCCGTTACAGTTCGTAAAGCGTTTCTACCAAGCCTTACGAAAGACAAGGCTGCCTCTGCTGAAGGATAATGTAATACTTCCTTAGACAGATGGCAACCCTTAACCCTATCCCACCAGTTCATGAACTTTTTGTGGGTAAAATCTTTAATTATCTCAATCTGAGTTGATAAGGACGGAGCGATTATCGGTTCAGGCGAACATGGCGCTCGCTTGGCAGCCCTTTTGGCAAGCCTATCAGCGTGCTTGTTACCTGAACAAGTCGAGTGTCCTTTTATCCATTGAAGTATGACACAGTTATGCACTGCGGCCTTCTCCAATGTCAGATGACAACCCATAACAAGTCCTGAGGTAATTGTTATTCTACTCAGGGCCAAAATAGCTTGTCTACTGTCAGTATAAATT